ACGCTACTATCAGCTGCGTGCCGAAATGAGAATTTTCGGTTTGATTCGTGTATCACATTTAAAACAAACTGGAACTGAAACAACCAAAGTGAATAGCATCGGAGTCTTTGGTGGCATCATCGGGCATGGGTGGTGGCAAACACTTTCGAGGAAAGGAATTGAATTGAATTGATACAAAAGGGCCCTCACCCCCCTGCTGCCTCCCCCCCCCCCAAAACCCATAATAAACTATAACAGCCCCGGGCCCTCATCAAACTTAATCTGGCCCTGAACACACCACGGCCAATTGGCTTCTGAAATCTCTTAACGAGCGTCTCTCCACGCATCTTTCGAATTCCCAGCCGCGCGCACGCAACAGCGGCGCTTCGCGTGACCGTGCTCGCCGGGGCCGGCCTCCCTCACCAAAGGGTCTGGGAGGGGTGGTGGTGGTCGTGGTGGTGGTGGCTCGGTTATCATCGACGCCGGCCTGGCAGCAATCAAAACAAACAAAAAGTTACAAAAAAGGAAACGAACGAAAAAAAAGCCGCCTCCCCGCGGTTGGAGGGGGGGGAGGGGGTGCTGCTGTTGGGGTTTTGACGAGGCTCGGCCTGCGGGCGCTACGGAATGTCTCTTCGGTGTCTCCGTCACTAGCGGGGAGCACCTGTTGGCCACACGGCCGTCAGCGTCCTCGTTATCCCGCCTCCCCCCCACCCCCGTCACCTCCGATATCGCGTGGCATCGCCGGCCCGGGTGTTATTTAGTTATTATCATCATTATCATTATTGTCTTCATTTGGAGGGTGTAAGCTTATGCCAGCAACAAAGTCCCTTGTGCTGAAACGGTGGACAGGTGTCGTGGACTGTGCTGGCGATGGAAGGTTTGAGAAAAATCGCACACGACAAACAAAAACACGGCGATGCTTGTTGCCAAGTTATCTTGCATTGTTCTTGGTTTTGCACGCGTCTTAGTTTTTGTATGTATGCGTGTTGAACTTCTTTCGCACCGTACGTAGCCAACCGTGCTCATCGCAGGCGCGGGGGAAGGACAACAAACTAACACACAAAAAGCAGGTTCAAAGTAGTGAGTTTTCAATCCAGGCTTAAAAAGTGCACAGCTCCAGTGGCTTCCGAATATCAGAAGATCATTCCGGGTGGCCGCAGAACCACATCTGAAATCGCGCGATGTTGTGAATCTTTGTTCGACGGCCGGAGTTCACGTGACGGTGGTTTACGTTCCGCCGTGAGATTGGCAAGGTATTGTGGTTCATTTGTGGCAAGCATTCTGTGTGTAATGAGGGCGACCCGTATAAAACCTTTGTTATAGTGATGCAGGCACGGGCATTACTGTGGCCAGCACCGTTAAAGCAAGTTACAAAACAAAAAAACATGCATGTGAATTATTTCTGTCATGCTTTCCAACACGCGTTCGTCTTCGAGGGTGCTTAATGAACACTGTGGAAGCTGACGTGTCACTGCCGGGTAAAGAAATGCGTGCTTTTATATATTTGCAATTAGTCTTGGCTTGCACCTCAAAGCTTTGAGCAGTCATCGAATCAATTTGGCCATGTTTCAACAGGGAAACTCCTTCAGCCCGAGGTATAAAGGGTTTAAAAGTGGATATGTTCAATGTCTTCACGGACGGGCCCTCATATGCGTTGGTTCCCAATCCATAACTTTAATTCTACCGGACACTATAAATGACGGGGATATCACAATGGGTGCATTCATCATGGGAGAGGCTTTTACTGACGGCCATGGCTCGAGAATGTACGATGATGATGAGAGTACGTGTACATATATACACACACGAGGGGTGACTGAAACGTCTGTAGCTTAACATAGCAGGTGTGGTGCTTCAAAGTTAACAAATTATAAAATGTTTATAGTTAAACGTGCATTGTATAAGGCGGAATAATACATTTCACAGCAGCAAGTTATATTATATTCTTGGTTCTTTCGGTAAAGTCACGTAGAAGGGAAACAATAAAATAATACAAATATAAAACAATAAAATTCTCACGACGTTTCGACTGCAACACAAGCAATCATCATCAGGTGTGAAAACCACAGCAAGAAAATTTGAAAAAAGTGCTGTAGTTTTAACACCTGATGATGATTGCTTGTGTTGCAGTCGAAACGTCGTGAGAATTTTATTGTTTTATATTTTTATTATTTTATTGTTTCCTTTCTACGTGACTTTACCGAAAGAACCAAGAATATGAATCCCTGCAGTCACGAAAGCTTTAAATCAAAATTTAGCAGCAGGTTAATCGTTTTTTCTGGTTTATCAATTGTTCGGAATCATTTTATTTCAGTATCAACTGCACAATGCAAAAAAAAAGATTAGAAAACTGATGAAAGATAAGCCACCGATTATTATGATGAAGGATCAAGTGCACTGCACTTCAAGGGAACCGTATAGCACACGAAGACAGCGGAGTTCAATCATTCGGAATTTCCCCTGACCCGTGTGTGGTCTGGTGGTCTGGCGGTGCCAACTCGGTTAAGGTCACAACACTTTCCTCCATCGTTCCATTGAAATTGCTACTTCACAACCATATTGGTTATGGGTAACAATCTACCACCGCAAGTTTGGATGACCCTTGTTAAATAACTAATCCTTCCACGCTTTAAATATTTCTTCCGAGGTGGCTCGGTTTTATTCTTTTTCCACAGCTTTTTTCCCTCTCTCTCTCTCTCTGGCTCCCCTCCGCGATCTCTCCTCGAGAGTTCTTCTAGTCGGACGTTTCCGTGGCCGCGAGCGATCGTTTTCCCCTCTCTCTCGCGTTTTTGGCTCTCTGCTCTCTCGCGCGCTCATCCGTTCGTTATTTGTTACGCCGCTCCCCACATCCACGCACGCGCGCGCGCGCTCACATCCGCACACTTAAACCTCGGCCTTGGACACACCTGGCGGAGGAGACGAGTTGAAAGAGTGGCGGAGAAATATAGGAACCCAGTCTCGTGACCCTCCTTTCACCGCCTCCGCTAATAATAATTATAATAAATATTTTATTTTTGTTTTAACTCTCCCCCTTGCACGTTCCCCCCATCCTGCTCCCCGCCCTCCCCCCCCCACATTGCAATGTCTGGGGCTGTGCGAGGGCGGCCGACGCCGGGCTCTGTCCGGCCACACTGGGATGGTCTCTTTATTGAGTTTGGCTGCGTTTGACTTCCTCGGGGGTCGTGCCGCTGTCTGGGCGCATCCCGGGAGGGGTGGGGGGGGGGGGGGGGAGATGGTAGAGGGGGGGGGGGGGGATGCCGCCACCACGCCGGTGGAAGGATAAATGAATGAATAAATAGTCTGGGTCGATTTGAAAACGACGAATATTTCCTGCCGGGCTGCGTTGACCTCTCTCGCGTGCGGCTTGAGCCGTCTCTGCAAACGGATGCACACGGATTGGTCATTGGATTGATTGTCGTGATAGAACAGCATTCACCACTAATTTTCAGCGGGGGGGGGGGGGGGGTACTTTCGCGGACAAGACATCCGTGTGAAGGCCGCCACGTCTTTAAAACCATTGGGGGTTTGACAGCACGACGACGATGATGATGATGGGGGGGTATCTATCATGGGACCTTTCTTGCCGGTATCAAAACATAATAATTGGTTTTACCCTTTCTGGCAATAAAAACAGTTTGTGTTGAGATGTTATACACACCAAACAGAAACCTTTTGCAAAGAATCATGCCTGCATTGATCGCACGTGCTTGTGGTGAACGTGCTTGTGGTGAACGTGCAAACACACGCTGGTCAGCGCAGAGTATGGCGATGGGCTGTGGGGACCAGGACTACTTGTAAAATCTTTCGCCACTGACGTGGGTTGTGGCTGGGAATAGAAACTTCCAGGCACAGCGCAACTAAACCACTGGCACCGCCGCTCCCACACCTGATGATTTATCATCTAACGTTATCTAATGCTCCGTAAACGAAAAGTTAACGATTGGAACGTTATAATAGGGGTTTTTCTCTTTTTTCTGGCAACAAAACTGAAACCTTTTTTACAAGGATTCATGTCTGCATTAACCGCAATACCTGCAGTCAAAATGCAAGCAAAAAAACATACTATGATAATACATGCATTGTCCTTGAAACTGATTGGTCCACACCAAGGGACGGCTTTCTTTTGAGCCTCGACCCAATTGGTGCTCGACCACATGACACCAAAAGGCGTACAGCTCAAAGACAATACACGATCAAAGTAATGAGGGCTCGGGGTGAGCATCTACATCATTAGACCTCCTTTGCCAGTACCAAAATGTAATAATAGGGTTTTTCCCCTTTTTTCTGGTCGAGCACCAATCGGGTCGAGGCTCAAAAGAAAGCCGTCCCTTGGTGTGGACCAATCAGTTTCAAGGACAATGCATATATTATCATAGTATGTTTTTTGTTTGCATTTTGACAGCAGGTATTGTGGTTAATGCAGACATGAATCCTTGGAAAAAGGTTTCAGTTTTGTTGCCAGAAAAAAGGGTAAAACCCCTATTATTACATTTTGGTACTGGCAAAGGAGGTAAGATGATGATTGGAACGTTACCAACACAATTGAATCGCGCAAACACTGTTCCAACGTTATTCGCGAGGGATACGTTCTGGAGATGCTCGTGAATAGCAAATTTTGCAAATAACGACATTTGTAATGAATTACCTTAAATAAATACGTAAATATGCTATTAAATACATGAAAATTATCATAACACAAACGCATACAAATTTATTATAATATAATAAACATAAAGTAAATAAAACTATTGAAGTATTAAATTTTGGTTTATTAATTAACTTACCTTATCTCATCACTTTAACTCATCACTTTGTCGCATCACATTCTCTCTCATCAATTCCTCTCTCGTGCAGTCGTGTAGACTTCCAGGTGCGATTCACGGATAGCCAAAATCGCGGATAGCAAGTTCGTGAATTACGCCGGAAAACTGTACTTGTACATCCAGTTATATATTTATTTTTACACGTGAAACTCTTTCTGTTTATTTCTAACCCGCTCCCCCCCCTCCATGATTTCCCAGGGAATCCCAGGCATCCCAGGTAATCCTGGCAAGGACGGCTCTAAAGGAGACAAGGTGAGGGGCGATGGCCACTTACACCCAGGGCCAGCGCTCTCTGTAACTCCCTGCGAGTTTGCACTCTTGCTTGCAGTGGGGTCCTACGATTACCATGTGGATCTCTGCAGCGTCTGCATAACGCGCAACAACTTAGCAACAAGAGATATTTGTGGGCAGGTCGGTGAACCCACTTGTTCTACTGCAATCGTCTGGCAGTACAACAAGCCGAGTTTTAGATGATCGCGAATAATCTCTACGTGATCCACCTACCCTTGCCTCGAAAACACCGAATGACGGACGCGATTTTACCGCCGCCAATACCACTGGCGGAATAACCGAGAGAGGCTGCCCTGGTCTAGCTTTAACCTTTGACCCTGTGTGTGTGTTTGCAGGGAGACATGGGACTGCCAGGCCCACCTGGACCTCCGGCCGTCACCGTGAGTCCAGTTTTACTTCCCAAACACTCCCGCGACGTTGCACATCTACGCATTCACATCACGTGACCTCCGGTCATCCTCGCAGCAGCAGCTTTTAGCTCAGCCATCGACCAAAGACGGCCACCGCATCGTGCGCTTTCAGATGCGCTTCTGCGGCCGTCTGGAATGCTCTTCCTTCCGATATGAGGAATCCACTTGAGCTATGAGCTTTTAGATCATCCATATTGAAAACTAAATTCTTTCGAACTGCTTTTTGTGTTTAGTTTGTTGTCCTTCCCCCCGCACCTCCGATTAGCACGGTTGGCTACGTAAGGTGCGAAAGAAGTTCTACAATCGTACACGTTGGGGGTCAACTTGAGGCCTTCATCCCTCCAGGGTCAATACAATTAGTAGCAATTTGTTTGTTGTAAGTCAGCTGTGCTTGTCTTACGGATACACCTGCCTCCACCGTAGATATGGGGACTTTCCACCATTAGTTCAAGGCTGTAAATAGCAGCTAAGTGCCTCCTTAGAGTCGTATGAACAAGGATCGACCGACATTCATTCAAAACAGTTACAGTACCTTCTTTCATTGTACGTGTAAAGTTGCTTGTGCCCGCCACTGCTGGCGGAAGGGCCTCCGCGAGAGGAAGTTCTAGAGAGTATTTTGGTCTACTCTTCCACACTGGCCAGACGTTTTTGGAAGAGGAGAGAGTACCCACACTTTACCCCAACACGCGGGACCAACTGGGATGCACCCATTTATTCTGCTGGGTTGCCAGAGATTTGAAGAGGGATTTAAAATGTAAATAAAAACGTGCCCATTGTTTCAACTGCCACGCCGGAAGAATGAACCGGCGGCCTCTGGATTGCAAGTGCAAAAGCGCTAACCATTGCACCAGCGGTAGGATCCGTCCCAAATGATATGATTGTGCAGGAATATTAAACAAAAACACCAGAATCAGCATTTGCGAATTGGGATTTGGGATTTAAGCAAAGCGCCGTGCGCCAAACGCACACGTCCCTGCATTATTATCTACGTTAACGATGTCAAAATACATTCTCCGTAGCAGTAGATGAAATTACAGCCAATTTCAAACAAATGGCTTTCGTGAATAACACAAAAAAATATATAAATCTGTCCTGCCGCAATTAGTTTTTTTTTAATGCACAACAATTACAGCGAGTTAAAAAATTATCAATGACGTCATCCCACGGCTGCCCGAACTCGTAACGAGTTGAATGTGTCCCGTGGTAGTGAATTTGCGCCGCTAACGAAAAGCAGACTCCCCACATTCCCCGTCGTGCGTGTGATCTGCAATAAACATAGAGCGTCAACAAATCTATACAAAAAAAACAGTAAACGCCGCTGGCGTTTTACAATTTACTTAAAACTGCGTTTCGTACGTGCACGCATGTCGAAATGAAATATATTTTTTGTTGTAAAAAAAAAATCACGTGGTAATAATAGTAAAATTAAATAATGAGCAAAGGGGGTGGGAGGGGGGTACTTTGAACAAAAGTGATGTTGAGTGCGTTCCGGTGCAGAGCTTAATTACATCGCAGTCAGCCGTAATTGAGTTACTCGCATTTTAGCCGTGCCTTGGAACTGTTTATTTCTTTCCTTCCCATAAGTGATCGGGGAACATTCACTTGCTTACTCATCTTCAGCGCAAATGCGAGAAAGATGTTGATTCTTTCGTCGACTCTTCCGCAAAACGGAGTTCATCCACGATAGGCATTGCGCCTTTCGAATGGCGCTCATACATCATATATACCGGGTACTAGTCTGCTTCTCCGAGTTAATTCCCCCCCCCCCCCGCCGCATCCCCAGCGTTTTGCATTGTTGCTGCATTGGCATTGTTGCTGCATTGGCATTGTTGCTGCATTGGCATTGTTGCTGCATTGGCACTCGTGCACCGCCCGTGCTCCTGGTGCTGTTGATACACTTGGGCTACGCCCATCCCCAAACCTTTGTAAACAGTTTGACTTTAGAGGCTGACTCCTTTGCCTGACGACGACCGCTTGTGTTGCGGTGGAAACTTCGTGATTTGTTTTATTTTATTTCTAACCACGTGACTTTACCGAAAGAACCAAAGAGTATGGATTCATGCAGTCACGAAAGCTTCAAATCCAGATTGTAATCATCCTCCGCTGTCAACCAATTCCACGTGTCTCTTTTTCCCCGTGGCCGGCGCTTTTAATCGCCTTCCGTAACTGGCTGCCACAGGGGTGGGTTCGGAGTGGGGGTGGGACGCAGATGAGTGCCGGAGTTCCGTGCGGTGTGCAGAGCGACGACTGGATTGCAGTCAGGGCTTCAATCCCTCGGTGAATATCTCCCTGCTGGTCGCATGCACGTAACTGGTAACCACGGCCATATGGAGAGGTATACTGGACGTGGTGTGCTGGGTTAATTAGCCCAAACAGATTGAAATTAAGCCCGGCTGAATCTACTTCTGTCCACTCCCTCAAAGCTATATTCTTAGTTTTTTCGGTAAAGTCACGTTGAAGAGAAACAACAAAATAACAAAATATATATAAAACAATAAAACATTCTCACGACGTTTCGACCATAACTCAAACGGTCATCATCAGGTGTGTCGGTTTGCATAAATTTATTTTTAAAACGGCACATTTATTTAAAAAAAACGTTGGCGTCACGCGCAGCGATTGGCAGTTTGCCCAGGACTAGTCCATCAAAGCTGTCCAGAGTATGAGAGGTGAGAGTAGCTAGAATAATGCTTTTGAAAGCACGCTTTTGATTGGACTAGGCCTGCAAAGGTGAAACCTTTAAAAACAACAGGCAATTAAAAACACGAATTTGTGTTTGGATTTTGGTATACTCCCCAACATGCTTGTGTTCTCAAGAGTATTCCAATCGGAGATCGTAACAAGATATTCACTCCGAGGTCAAATCACACGGGGCATGATCAATTTGGCCCGTTATAGAAGCCCCTTATATCTGCGCAAATTTACAACTTCACAAAGGTTCGTTCATACTAGATATTTTTTAAACATATATACACCACAATAGTTTTTAGTGGCCCCATCTTATGGACAGACGGACAGAGCTAACAAGCGAATGCTTTAAACCTGAGCTGGAATGCGTAAAAACGACCTCGGTGTGATCACGCGCGGCTTCGCCGTGCAATGCGGACGACGCCGGCGTGTCTCCACGTGACAACACATTTACGGCGGTCGAGTCGGTCACCACCGCCCCCTAACCCTCACCCCCATCGCTTTTGCTAAATCTTTCACCGTACATGGACTTTTTTTTATTCGTTTCAATTCGCCAAAGCAAGACTAATTGAATGTTTGCTCTCTATTTGGTTCTTTCGGTAAAGTCACGTAGGTAGAAGAAACAAAAAAAATAGATCACGACGTTGCGATCGCCGCACAAGCAATCGTCTTCAGGTGGGAGACGATTGCCTGTGTGGTGATCGAAACATCGTGATCTATTATTTTTTTCTACCTACGTGACTTTACCGAAAGAACCAAAGAGTATGGATTCCTGCAAGTCACGAAAGCTTCAAATCAAGATTGAATGTTTACTCTCTGTTGCTACGACTTCATTGCGCAGCGGCTGTGTAGCCCTGGCCATCCCTTCTGCATGCGTCACCTCCATCCGAGTTCACGCACGCGTTGTGTTAACCGGGGCGCGGTCAATATTTTGGCAAGTCGTCAATCATCCAATTCAATTGAAATGCCCCGTGTATGTATATTGCATTGTGATGCCGGTTGCAGTGCGATACACAATACAGTTTTCATTTTTACAACGTTTAATTGTGACGGCATCTTTACATGTTGTTTATAAACTAGGCATATTGATTTTGTTGAGGCAGCCATGGGTCTTTGTGTGAGTATATGGGTCTCTATTTGGGTATTCGTCTCGATGTGAGTTCATGGGTCTCCGCTTGAGTCAGTGCAATGTAGGTTTTTTTTAATGTGTAAACGCAACCACGCCTCGGGATGCTGTGAACAAACAGTAGGCATATATAGTTATTGTAGAGAGACGAGACAGCCATAGGCAGGGGGGGGGGGAAAGGAAGGTCTTGGGCCTGGACTTAAATAGGGACAAGGTGTCGGCAGTATGGACGGCTGGAGAATGGAATTTAAGACAATGGGGAGGCAGCAGAAGTGGATTTGCGGCCTGCCTACTATGTTAAATTGGAGGCTTTTTTTTACAACGTACGCGGATTTCCAAAAAATGATGGCACGCAGGAGACATCGAGCGTTGCACTCTCGCTGCTCCTGTTGCCGTTGATTGGCTTGACCACCTGCATGTGACAATGTCGTTGTTGCTCTGCCTCTCTGTCAGCAGCCGTACGAAAGAAGAAGGCGAGTAAATGATGGTAACTGTTCTGTCCACGGCTAGCATCAGTGGCGAGTGACGTGCGCGCAAAGTCCTGGGCAACCTCGTTAATAACCAACCAGCACTGACCAGAGTGGTGAAGTAAGGTCAAACAGATCCCAATTATTCACACAGCACTGGGACACATTGCCATGATTTTATTCTACGTGCTTATGACTGTAATAATATAATTGGAGCCGAGCCAAGAGTACTCCGAAAATTTATTAAGACAACACAGAGGACATTAGCCTCGGTCCCATATTGCCGATGTTACACGTTAGTGAACCTTAGCATTGAATGGCATTAGTGCGCACGATGACATTTAAAAATACAACCCACACTTGAAATGATAGATTCTGAATGCAGGTCTGTCTAAATACAGAGTGCGTCTGTGCAAGCGGGCACGGATCTGGTTTCATACCCCGCGAATGATATCGAGATTAAAATTACTACTGCTAATAATATTTATTTATTTTAAACACAGTTATAACAAAACATCTTCTCCTCTGATAATCTAAAGGGAAATAAGATTGCATTTCAGCATATTCGTGGCTGTGACTTCTAAGCTTTGGCAGAGGCTCCTCTGCAATGTTTAATTCCCGTTATGGGACCTGCTTACGACGGCGATAACTAGAGAACGCAGCTGGCCAGACGGTACCCTCGCACGGGA